ATACAGACCGGGTAGTGTGTGAAGGATTTTCGTGGAAAAGCACAGCGAAAACAGTAGCTTAGTTTTGGTTTCGTTTTTGATCGACAGGAACAGTTTTAAAGAGTTTTATCCTTCGTAAAGATGTGAATTTTGACATGTTTATAGTTTTCCTCCGAACTAAAGGGAAAAGGTTGATGTATAAATGTATTTTATGTTTTGAGGATGTTAAATGCATGTATCTTGCGGAGTAAAAACTAATAAAAGGTTGATGTATAAAAAGGTATTAAATGTTTTGAGGATGTTAAAAGCACGTGTCTGGCACAGTAGAGTTTATTATATCTGTTATAGGAAAAACGCTGTTATAGTAGTAACGTCAAACTTGTTATATAAACAGCTTCCTCTTTTGATGTATTTGTAGGTATTATCAGAACATATTATGCATTGATTTTTACAGTTTTCACCTTAACTGATGCGTCCTATATGGACAAAGTGGTCATATGGTACAGTAAATCTTTCTGACGTTCTGCACCGAATCGCTAACTGATTGAGATAGCTTCTTGGTTACTTTGTATTTGACTAACTGATTATAACGTCGCTATATGTTTAACACTGTTGGTGGAATGTCATTCATCGAGACTGGCCGTCACCTAGAACCTAGGATCTATTCTGACACGGCATAAATGAAATACCACATAAAGAAATAATTACCTGATATGTAGCCAAAAGTTAAGGTTAAAAGTTTTCATTTTTTTCAATATTTTAAATAACGTTTCAGAACTCTCCTTGCATGGATATTCACCACTGAAGACACATTTGAACTCTTCCAATTCAAAGGTTTGACTAGCTCATTATGAAATATCATGTGTGAATGAGGTAATGGAGGTAATGGCCATATGATGGAGTAAACGGTTGACTTTATTTGGTTTTCTAAATCGACCCTTCACTACAGATGCCATCTTGATGAGTGTGGTTATGTGTTAGTAGCTACAGTGAATCCTTGATATCAAGAAATTAATTCATGAATCCAACTCCGGAACAATCAAGATGTACACCTTTATTATACCACTGACATACACCTGTATTTTTACATTATAAAATAAGCACTATCCAAGTTTTATAAACGTTTTGACCTGTTTATTATAGAAACTACATAACAGACATCAACCTATAAACTACCCAAAAGTACGCACCACTTACGCCGATCTTTCCACAATCTTCCTAAATTATGTCTACCCTCCCACGGACTACCCGCTGTACGTCTCACCACCCAATTTATAGCTATCCTCTCACAAACAACCCAGATTATACCTAACCTCCACAAACTACCTAACAATTACGTCTACCCTCCCAATAACTACCCTACTGTCGTATATCTTTCCACAAACCACCCACTTATGTCTGTACTCCAACAAACCACCCAACGTATGCCTATACTCCCACCAACTACCTAACTTACGTTTGTATTCCCACAATCTACCCAACGTATGTCTGCACCTAAATTATGTCTATCCTCTCACAAACTACCAAATGTATGTTTACCAACCGATAAACTACCCAACATATGTCTCCACTCCCAAAAACTCTCTGAAACTACCTAAACAATGTTTATCCTCTCACAGACAAACCACGTTACGTCTACCTACCTATTCACTTCCCACATTATGTGTACACTCCCACAAACTATCCACATTGGATTGTGACGTCATTTTACAGTATTGCTGCAAAAATGAACCCGATGCATTGTCAAAGATCTCACGATAGTACATAAGATATTACAGTTTTCCTAACAGCAATTTGGATATGCATAAAGGATATATAAGGATTGACACTTGATATGGTATCATGGTGTGATGAATCAATTATATCATATGTATAATCTCAATAAGGTAAAGACATATTTAATGAATGAAAATTGATAATATATTTTATAATATATAATAGATATGTTTATGCTTTCATTAGTGCATTACAAGTATTTTGGAAAACATTTTATAATACTACTATAGAACTAAAAAAAAATCAATAAAATTATTTGCTTTGTCGTGAGTTAAATTCCATGTTAAATATTTTATTATTAATGCATTATTTGTGTCTGAAATGTTGATATAAGTTATAAATAGACAATTCCAGTAACTAAAAAAGATGCACATTAATGTCAATTAAAGTTCAATTAAAAGAAATCATTGAAACTAAAAGGTCATTTCGAAACAATTGAAATCAGTGACACTTACAGGTAAATCAACAAAACAATTACAGTAAATTTCTAGAACATTGACATCATTGACACTTTAAAGAAACTTAAAAAATATTCACATCAGTAACAATTGACGATCACTTAACACAGCACTCAATAAACAAAACATTGACATGAGTGACACTTAAAGGTAAATTAACACGGTATTGACATCGTTTAAATGTAACGGTCAATAAATAAAACACTAACATTACTGACACTTAAGGTCAGTTAACAAACCGTTGAAATCCTTGAAACTTAACTATCAATTAACAAAACTTTGACAACATTTGCATATATTTACATTATAACAACATTTGCTTTTGTAACGTCNAAATAATTGACGTCAGTGACACTTTACGGTCAATTAACACAATTCTGACATCATTGATTATTTAGGTCAATAAGTAGAACATTGACATTTAAACGTCAATTAAGGAAACATTGACATCAGTCACACTTAACGGTTAATTGAAAAAATGTTATCAGTGAAACTTTAAAGTCAATTAAAAATATTGACATCCATGACATTTAACGGACAATTAACAGAACATTGAAATCATGGACACGCAACAGTCAATTAACAGAACACTGACATCATTATCCCTTAAAGGTCTATCAGAAAAAAACATTTACCTCCGTGGCACTTTACAATAAATTACTAGAACATTGACATCATTGACACTTTAAAGAAACTTAAAAAATATTCACATCAGTAACAATTGACGATCACTTAATACAGCACTCAATAAACAAAGCATTGACATGAGTGACACTTAAAGGTAAATTAACACGGTATTGACACCGTTTAAATGTAACGGTCAATAAATAAAACACTAACATTACTGACGCTTAAGGTCAGTTAACAAACCGTTGAAATCCTTGAAACTTAACTANTAAACAAAACATTGACATCATTGAAATTTAACTATCAAAGAAAAAAAACATCGACATTAATGACACTTAACGGTCAATTAACACAATATTAACATCAGGGACACCAACAAGGTCAAAAAACAAAACATTGACATCTGTGACACTCATCATTGACACAAAAAGGTCAAAGAATCGATATTTGACATCAGTGACACTTATAAGTTCATTACCAGAGCATTGACGTCAGAAACACTTAAGGTCAATTAACAATCAAGAAAAATAACTATAACACGTTGATTGTCTAAAAAATAACTAAAAAGTTAATATACAAATGTCTTCGTAGAAAACTTTCTATATATAAAGCATACTGTATTGAATGGTTGTTTATCTACAATATTCTACATTGAAATGACATTTTAGAGAAGAGGTTCCTTTATATATATATTGTAGAAACTTTTCTTTAAATGAAATATTTTTCATAGGCAAGGCTCTTTATATACAGTATATTTACAGACACGGTTCATTATATACAGTATTGTTTAGTTGATTGGCTTGGCATAGCTAAGTTTAATTATCGAAAATATTTTTTTTAGTAACCACAAACAATAAGCTGGTGTAACGAGTGCTCGCGCGATACTGTACAATGATAAAATAATGACTGTACGGAAATCTGCCTAGTGATGTTTTGAACACTAAGACAGAAGTGTACACTGTTGTTATGACTGCTGATGTTTAACTGATCAGTTGTTTCCTCAGTTGTTGACTTAGTTGTTTGCTCGGGTAAATTTGTAACACTCATTGTTCTCATTCACGGAATTAACACGTTCATACTTCTATGCTTAGGCCACCTGTGTCAATGCACTCTGTGTTGTTCGTATGCACAGTGACCTCCCTTTAATTTCGCCTCGGATATAACTGAAGCATAGTTGGACCATAACACTTTCGTTGAGCAGGTAGCTATTGAACAAATCAGTTATTTTGGTTTCAGAAAAGTGATGAACTCTTTTATCCAATCTTGATGCTCCTCTGGTATGTGTTCGTTCGGGTCTTTAGCGCCCTCTAACGGAGGAGGTATCCGGATAAACGGTTTTGTTCTAGCAATATCTGGCATGTTGCGCTTGTCGTCCGATATGACCAACACTTGCGGGCCACTTTGTTCGGAACTCCTCTGGATAGCTTGATCGAAAATTGAGGGTGATACGAGTCCTCACTCTCGTGGGTCATGATTATGATACATGGGATTTTCTGTATAA